AAATATTTTATGAGATAGATTATATTAAAAATGTGTTTTACCTTATAGATTTACTAAAATATTTTTGATGATATTATTTTTTATATTATTTTATTAAAAACATTTTAATAAATTTATAAAATAAATTATACTTTTAATCTTTAGTTTGACTTAAAAGTATATAAATCTCAACGAAAAAATTCCAAATAAATTAAATATTTATACAATAAAAATTATACATTAATTAATCATTTTTCATATCCCTATCGACTAACTAATCTAATCATCCAATCAACATGATCGAAAAAGTCTGATCACTTCACGTTATTCTTTTATCCATGTTACTAAATTCCTTAAGTACCACATTAAATAAAGAATTTTCTTGTTCCAAACATTAAATTAACTAAAGATGGTAAAAATATGTCTTTGAATTCAATGATTTGTTTTCAAACCTTAATATTCAGATTTAATTGATCAAAAATTCAACTTCCATTAATTATTTAAAAAATCTCTCCATCTTCCTTAATTTTCCACGTTAAAAAAAATAATAACTAAAGATGGTCGTTGGGGAAATTACTCTTTCTTGCCCACTCTGTGTGAGGGAAGTGAACAACACTCTTGTCTTCTTTTTTTTTTGGGGGGGTGGGGTAACATATCCAATAATTTAAAAATATATGTATAACAGAACAAGAATAAATTGGTTTATCATAGAAGACCATAATGTTGCACTTAAGTAGGGGTGGCAATTTCCCCCGATCCCCGCGGGGCCCCGCGGGGATCCCCGTCCCCGCCATTCGCGGGGACGGGGATGGGGAGGCACTCCCCGGCCCCGCGGGGCCCCGTTGACATCCCTACACTTAAGACATGTGTGGGTCTTACATGCATGTGAACATATTATGCTTCTTAAATATATCCCAAGAATTATTTTCTTTTTGAATCTCATACCTCTATTAAGAACTTTCTTGTCTGAATTTGCATCAATTATAGCAGCTAGATTGTTCTTTCCTGACTGCATATCAATTTGTTTTTAGAAGATAGGTGATTTCTCATGTCAATACAAAATCTACTTTGTACAACACAAGCAGGAGCCAACTGTAAAACTTAAGGATGACTTTGGGCTGATTGGTGCATCTTGTTGGAGTTTTCATTTTTTTTTATATTGGTTATAAATAATAAGTATAAATTTTTATTGAAAAAAAATTTTAAAATTACTTTTAAAAATAAAAAAGAGAGTAAAAAGTGAGTAAAAAAAAATTTATAAAACATTTAAATTTAAAATTTAAAATTTTTTACTGTTTAAATTTTTTTTAAAATTAAAAAATATTTAAAAATATAAAATTTTAAGATAAAATTTAAATTTATAAAATATAAATAACGTTAAAAAATTAAAACAATTGAGAAGTTACAACAAACGAAACCCTTTGTTGCCTCAACCGTAACCATAAGCTAAAGGCCAAAGCTCCTATTTGCACCCTCCATTTATTTCTTTTTCGCGGTCAACATCTTTCAAAATTTTTCCTCCTTATTCACACCTTCCACTTTTCAAAACTCGTGAAAAATCCAATATTTTAACGGACTGTCACGATATCGTTAAAAAATGCACTACGTGGTACCCAGAAATTGACGTGGCACATGCGGCGTTTCCTTATTCGTTAGGTTCAGATGTGGATCTGCTTTTTGATGATGTGGCTTCTTTTCTGCACACGTGGACACCACGTGTGCAGTGGGGCCCATTGCACGGGACTTTTCTCGCTTGTCCCTGCGTCTCCACCAAAAAAAAAAGAAATTTTAGAACAGGAGCTCTGGGTTCAACCCGATCTGGGTTCCTCGTCGTGAGGAACCCAGATCGGGTTCGAGCTAGGTTCCTCGAGAGGAACCCATGAGGAACCCGACTTTGGGTTCCTTGTCGTGAGGAACCTAGATCGGGTTCCTCACAAGGAACCCAGAGCTCCTGTTCTAAATTTTTTTATTTTTTTATTTAAATAAGCCACATCATCAAAAAAAAGCATCCATATTGGATTATTAACGGCACATAGTGATCACATCAATTTTTTAGTGCCACGTAGTACATTTTGTAATGGTATTGTGACGACGCGTTAAAATGTTGAGTTTTTTACGGGTTTTAAAAAATTAAGGGTATGAATAAAGATAAAAAATTTTAAAAAGTGTTAACCGTGAAAAAAAAATAAATGAATGGTGCAAATAGCGACTTTGCCTAAGCTAAAAGCTTCATTGGCTTACGTCGAAACCATTTTTCTTTCTTTCTCTTTTTCTTTCTTTCTTTCTTTCCTTCTTTTTGTACTTATGATGGAGCGGTTTAAAGTTATCAGTCAAATTATAGAGTTTGAAGTTTAGATATTTATATTATATTAAAAATAGTAAAAAATATTTTTTTATTATATATTATACTTTTTTAATAATTTAACTATTAAAATCACCAAGATATAAATAATTTTATTTAAAATATTTTAATAAATTCAATAACCAAATAACATGATAAAAAATATAATTTGCATTAAAAAATATTTTTTATGAAAAAACAATATCTTTATTTTCTTTCTTTTCGCAATTGAATATTTCAATATTGACAAATCCATGGCATAGTGAATTTCAAGTTTTCAACAGCTGTCTCGATCGGGCGGTGTCTATCTCACGCCGTCATATCGGATTTTTTTTTTTTTTGTTTTGGTGGTAAAATCCGTCATATGGGATTACTTACTTAAGCCAAACACGTATCCTATCCAAATGCTAGCTTTTTATCTATATATTTAAGCAGCAACCAGACTCACGCAGGAAGGTAAAGGCCGCTCTGGTTGGAAGTTGAATCGATCAAGAAAGAGAGTCCAAAACCAAATTAACGCCATGGCTAAACTCACAATTGCTGCTGTGATTTTGGTTCTGGCCGCCACGATGAGCCTAACGGAGGCGCAGAACACATCGACGTCATGCGCCTCAGAGCTGCAGACTTCCTGTGCCAGTGACCTAAACTCCAGTTACCTAAACTCCAGTTACCTAAACTCCAGCACCATACCGAGTGGCCACTGCTGCACTGCCTTCACCACTGCCGCGGTTAACGAGCTCACCTGTCTCTGCAACCTCTACAACAATCCTGATGTGCTTAAGCCCTTCAACATCTCCCTCCCCGTCGCTGTCCAGCTAGCCCTCAACTGCCGCTACGTCTGTACTTTTCTCGTCAACTGCACCAGTATGTACCTAGTTATCTCCACTTTCAACCCTTCATGTTATCCATGTCTGTTTTTCAGTGTTAGATAGATTAATTTCATTTTTGTGCTAGGGTTTTTAAACCTGAAAGGGACTGGGGAGAATCAAGAAAGTTGAATATCTAGTAAATTGAGGAATTCGTTTGTTTTTTCTTAACTTTTCTTTAGGGTTGCAATTTCCCTGTACCTTCATGAATTTATTATGTGGGGATCTTGTATGCTACTTTTGTTGACGAAATTTCCCAATATGTGATTAATTGTCGTTTATACTGATTTTCGATTAGTTTGGATTGTAAAGTTGTAATAATACTCATCTCCTGAAATTTCCCTGTTACAGACGCTCTGTCTCCAACTGAGTGTGTGTACCCACCTCCGTCTCCGGGTAACGATTCTCTCTCCTTGCCATTCATCCCATTATTTCTTCTGCTGAATGAATATGTGTAGTTGTAATCCTTTACCCATGGATTTCCTCTTTTTCCTCGTTTCGTTATTGATTTTGGAGAAAATCTTCAGTAAGGGCGGCTTTGATCGATGTTGAAACATGTGAAATGATGGATCTACCAGAATAATTTCCTATGTTGGTAGTACTTGGTAGACCATAATTAAGTCTTTATAATCAGGTCTTTTTAATCAGAAATAAAAGAGGGATGTTCGGCATGCCAGCTATTTCATGCTTTTGAGTACGTCCTTTGAAAATTCTAGGAAAAGTAGGTTTGTTTATTTTATTTTGTTTTATTTTTTTGACAAAAGCAATAGTTAATAACTTAAGTTAGTTGATTGTTAGAAATTGAGGATTCAATATCCAGAAGAAAGTGAATGCCACCACCTCCTCGTTGTGGAGCGTGGCCAACTAGTAGGACAGATGGCGGAGTTCATAAGTTTGTTTAATTGTTTTCACACTTCTTAGGAGAAAATAGACAATTCTGTTTGTCTCTACTTTGATTGGGTTTTGGCTTGAGGTTTTTCCTAACATGTGTTTCTATGATATATATTAAGAATATATTTAATATTTTTTTAATCATTAAATTATATAAAAATAAAATAAAATTTTAATTTTAACAATTAACTAATTCAATTAATGTTTATCTAACTCATTAACTAAAGTTTTTTTAATTAATTTTGTATAATTTTTTATATTAA